CACCCCAGAGCAGAGTTTTTGGAGTCGTGTCACCGCCAGACACTTACCCACTTGCTAGGTCCCTTCCAAAATCTCTGAAGCTGTGGCCCAGGAGGCCAGGCTTTTACAACCTGTCACTGCGTGACACAGAAAGGAGAAACTGCTGCCAGGCCAGGTGCCAGGACACGCTGTGATGGGGGGGGTCAAACAAGCAGGAGGATGCAGCTCAGGGCATTCTGTGCTACCGGGCTCCCTCCCCATGCACTGTCAGCATAGCCCATGATTTAGGGCAGTTTTAAGCCAAATTTTTCTGTGTGCCACTCATGCACTTGACTGTTCGTTAAAGATCTTCTGGTGTGGTTCTTAAATCGTCAAAGTGTGTCTGTCTCTCATGTTCCTAAAGTTACTCACCTCGACACTCTCCATCTCCATGTTGCTATGGGATTGCAGCATCCCTGCACAGCCAAGAGGGACCAACACGTCACACAGATGTTTTGTAGAATTCTGACAGCTTCAGAGCACAAGTTTCAGTGTAGGTCAAAGCAAGCAAGCAGAAGACCTGAGACTTAAAGAAAAATGAGGGTGAGGCAGAACAGTCAATAACAACTTCATAATTAAAAATGAAAAAATAAGAACATTTTTTGCTACATGCAGTCCCACCTCTACATGATCAGCAGAATAGCCCACATTTCACAGGGACTCCTACAGCTGCATTTGGTCTCCCCATCACAGGTTCCCTCCCCAGCTGTTCAGCTATTCCCATACTTTCAAGGGAAGACTGAAGCATGCTGACATCTCCTGTTGCTCTCTGGGATGCATCTCTTCATGTGTGCAGACGTGTGCATGCATCTGTCCACCTCTGTTCTGCTGCTGGTGGTCTTTGTACATTTTTTCACAACAAAAAGCTTCGGGTGCCTTTGCTGCCCCAGTCTGAAATGGAGACAAAGCCAAGTGCAGTTCTTGGCCTGGCATGTAGCCATCCTAGTGATATAGTGAACCAGAGGGGGAACTCATCCAAGAGACATCTCCATCTTTATCACATGATGGATGCTGCTTTTGGCATGCCAGATTAGCATAATTTGTCTGCAAGAATATCAGACATCCTCTGTGAGCTCACAGCTGAACAGTATTTCCTTGCCTTTTTTTTTTTAAGTTTTTCCTTTGGAATTTGGGTCTCTACATCTAGGGCCCTCATGGCTCCAGCATGTCAGATGACTGCAGTTAGCCTGGTGATGTGGCAGGGAAGGGCACTGGCTATGCTCCATGTCAGCAATGAACCTCTACGTAGGGCTGTTCAGAAGAAAGGCACTGATGGTTGACACGAGTATCTCTGTAGAGAAAAAGGCACTAACCACACCGTACACAGTGACTACTCACATCAACTGACATTAGCATCTTAAATTGTCACTTCAATAAGAACTATTGCTGACTCACAAGTCATTAAAACAAGGAGAGCCATGCTGAAGTGAGATGCCTTGAGGCTCCTCAGCATTGGCTCTGAACCGTATTGCCTTCCAAATGCCACAGCCTCTGAGTAGCTGCTCTTATCTTCAGTGAGCATAGGACTGAAGAAGCAGGACCTTGTCCTCAAAGGACAGCCTTTGAGGCCCCCAGAGGTCTCTAAAGCCACCATGGCTGACTCCATGGCTGCTACACCCCAGACGTGGCTGCATGGGGCATCATGTCCCAGACGTAGATGAGCCAGCTCAGGTGTGGAAGCCAGATTGCTCAGCCACAACGATTCGTGCCTCAGCAAATGTGGTCAGGCTTGCTTCTGGCCACTGGTGGGGAAGGATGCAAGCCCCTACAGCTCAGGAAGGTGCGAGTTCAGGGGCTGACCCCACAGAGTGGTCTGTTTGCTTGGTCGCAGCCTCTACGTGCATGCCCAGGCTCGCAGGCAGCCTGCCTGCCCCTCTCCCATCTGCTTTGGGAAACAAAACAACCAACACGTTTCAGCTTACAGAGCCATTTCCTAGCAACTATTTTCACTTGTTCAGCCCAAACTCAAGACAAACCACCACCACACACACTATTTGTAAGACAAAACCATACCCGAGTCAAGGTTTGAGGACTCACACAAGACTTCAGGTGGGTCCTCCCAGCAGGCAGCTCCAGGGCAGGGCTTCTTGAGGCACTACCATGGTTAATGACTTCAGGTCAGGAGAAAAAAAGCTGCTGTGGGGACAATCTGACTTTGGTTAAGTTGCAGAGAACTAAATCCATTCTTCAAATTGAGGTAATTTTAAAAAATGCCATATTTAGCAGTTATTGCTGGAGGGAGCAAGGAGAAGAGGGGGAATAGTTTATCCCATCTTCATATTTAACAAGTGTTGGGGTTGCAAGTGTTAGGATATCTGTTGACACTAATTTCTGTGATTAGGCAACTGTAGGCCATAGGTCAAGCGTGTGGAAGGAGAAATTAAAGTTATCCTTATCTTCATTTTTTGGTGGTGTTTTGGTTTTTTTTGGTCAGCACAAACTTTTCACTCAGGAAAGATTTTAACTGGGGACAGATGAAAGAAAAAGAGGGCATGTTAATTCATTTATTTTCTGATAGACCATGAAAAAAAAAAATGAAGAGTGATTAAACCAACAAAATTTCTTTAATAAATTAATAGCAGCATCACAAAACCCTGATGTGAATGACCCAAAGGAAGTTGGGTAAGTGACAGCATTTAACCATTCACAAAAACGTTACAGCCTGCTGGCTGGGAGGGAACGCAGGCGCTGTAAGGCAGTCCCCTTGTCTGTTTACCTAAACAAGTGACGTACATCAGAACGGGTCCAGCTGAGTAGCAATGGTTGACATATTTACAGTTCTGGTGCTGAATTTTTAAAAAACATTTATAAAAATTATGTAAATTCTCTGTTTAATTCCCATTATTTACATCCAAATGTAGTAGGTTCCTTTTTTTGCCCATACGACAGAACCAGCAAGGGTAAGACATGAAGGCTCCTACGCCTATGTGTGGACTGAGACCAAGTTCGAGGATGCTGTGGAAGATGAGCTATTCACACATGATCTGTTCACACACATGCTAGAAGCTACTGTAATTCAACTTATTGCTAGATGCTTTCAGAGTCTGTGATTTTAAATACATATATATATGTGTGTGTGTATATATATATAAGTACATCATACATATATATATATACATACACACATATACATGTTTGGAAAAGATGTGCTATGAATTCACCCAAGGAAAAAAAAGAACTTAAAAAAAAAAAGCAATGCGATCTTTCTGATTCTTCTGTACTGTCTGAGATAATCAAATCTGACTCAGAGCAAAGGGCAGTCACTGAAGGCACAAGTTTATGTCTCTGGTCAGTCCTTTCCC